GGTCTCCAATCTAGTGTTAAATCTTTAACTGGTCTGAGATAATGCTTGCGCCTGTAGCCAAAGTTAGTTCCGAGGCCTTCGAGCGACGAAAGTAGCGGGCGCACTGACTTAGTAAGGAGCATGAACATGCTTGCGAACCGCTCTGAAACATTAGGGTCGATTCCAGGAGCGAGTGACAGCTCATAGTACAGCTTGACAAGATTGATCCGCTCGCTTCGAGTCGGATCAAACTTGAGCGACAGCCATCCTCTGAGCTCTCGTGTCCAGTGCACTGCACCGGGACTGAAGTCACCAGCCTCCACCGCGATATACAGCTGCTTTAGAATCTCTCGCAGGTTGCGCTGCCTTTCCGATTCGTCTTCCGGCGTGTATGGTAGGTATTTGAAGTATGGGTATGTACGAGGCCGGACCCGTGCCTTGGGCTCGCCCTCTCCGTTTAAGGCGACAGGCTCACCTCCGGGAGAGGTAGCTCGCGATAATTCGTGAACATTTTGGAAGTTATCGGATGTGAGAATGGCCTTAGGACCTGATTGATCCATCGTCGAGCGATCAGTCCGGCGATTACTGGGGTACAGAGGTTGGGAACGTGGGAGGAGGTTCGGGGGGACTCTGCGGACCGCGGTGTGTTAGCTAGCTGTATCCTGACCGACTGAAATGGTGTATGTGACAATGGACGAAAGTCGCACCTTAAACATGAAGGTTGGAAGCAAATTCTAAGCTGCAGATATCGATGCCCAAACAGTGATCTGCTATCAGTCTTCGCATAGGCGATTTACTAAGACTTGGCTAACGAGGCGACCAGGAATGTCAGAGGCGCCAGACTGCACAGGATGGAAGACCCCAAGTAAGGTGTCAGGTATCACTTGTAGGAGATGCGAATTTGGCCAGGAAAGCTTTCTTGCACAAAATTACGCTCGGGGTTGAGATAAACTTGAGCTCAGACGTAGCAATCCGACGGTGGAGGTGTCCGTCAAGTGAATCTGGCTCAGTTTTGTAGGATCGGTGATGACATAATTCCACGTAACGTAACGGCCGCAGCCTAATTGGGCCCCGTCTCCAGAACAACCACCGAGTGGTTTGCGCCGCCCCGAGGCAAGTCCTACCTATGGTATATACTGAGATTGAGATTGACTTTCTTTGGAGATGAATTCGTTCGCCAGTAAGTGGAATTTACATCCTACAAATTTGTGGGCAATAGCAGTCTTGAAATGAGGTATATAGGATGTGAGACTCGATGTTCGAGGCCATTTCTAAATGGTTCGCCACACGTGATTACATGAGAGACCCTTTGACCGGGGAAAAAGGGGGGTAACTTGAACAGGTAATGGTACTTTCTTATATGATGAGTTATATTATCCTTCATATACCCTGTTGTAGACTTGCGATTGGATCAGGCGGGCGGGAGGAAAGACCCGAACAGAATGGCCTGGATCAGTGCATAGGCGACCATGCCCCGCACAGCCACAGTAAAGGTGCGGCTGGCTTGTAGGGAAGGTCGGGTTTGCCCCCAGTTGCCCGACACCAAATATACGAGATACCAGTACCATAGTGGATACCCTGAAGATATCCTGTTGATTATCTGAACATGGTAAGAGGTCAAAGCCATTACCGCAAGCAATCCTTGTGGTACAGCTAGCCGGAGAAGCAGGGAGGCTGTCGTGGCTGACGACGACGCTTGGTCCACTCCGCTCAAAGCTCTCGGAAAGATGAAGGGCACTGCCACATCCAGTGCCCATAGCGACGACCGGCTAAGTATGGCCAGCATCGGCATTGCCAGCAAGAAAAGTGGGATATTGGACACGGTCCAATACCGAAGAAATCCTACATTCCTGTTATTCAAGTTAGTAGTGCGTTCTGCGGTGCTAGTCAACTATCCTAACGTACCAGTAATGTCCTTGAACCCAGCGATAGATACTGGGGACAAGCCATTGACACCAAGGGCGTGACACATCGGCGTCCACACAGTATGTGGTATAGGCCACAGTTTGGGGAACGACAAGTCCCAGAGCAATGACACAGCCACTGATGATGATAACGGAGAGATGGGCACAGGCATCGATGGATAACCTTTGGCACCAAACCCGCCGAAGCTGCAAGAGAGCATCATAAGCATATAGAATACCACTTAAAATCCCATTACTGCGAACTGCAGTGGCTGCTGAGAACAGGATCGCAGCTACAAACAGTTTCACGTCGCCGGAGAGACGCTTCCCCGCCTTGTTATCGAGGAACGAGGACGAGTAGACATAGAACCCTGTAATGTTGAGCAAAGAAAACAAAGACTCCCCATAGGGCGCGGAAAGAAATGCTCCTGCAGGACAAATGATGTGCAGAAATGCCGAAAGAAAGCAGATTAGTCTCTGGGTGGCCGTGTCACGGCCGAATACGTTGACAGAGAGTCTATACAAGGCTAAGACTGCGAGATAATGGGCAACATGAGACAAAGCAGTCGCCACGACAGCGGTCCTGGCTGCTCCACTAGGGCCGATTAATCGGTGCAATGCTACATCCACAATTAGTGCCCGAATAACACAGCAATACACTTTCGATGAGGAAGACAGGTAGATCTACCAGTGGCAATATAGGCAAGGACTCTAGTGTACCCGTAGCCGAACGCCCACTCTTGCTCAAAGAGGTAGCCATTTTCGGCGATATGCAAGAAGTAAATGGAATCCCAGCGGACGAACTTGAGCGGGATGGGAAGGTGCGCATAAGTGATGTCTTCTGAGGTGACATCAGGGCGACTGTGGCTATGGTAGAGATGGCTTGTGGAAGTGTCGTAGCCAAGGCCAGGGCAACTGATGATGACCAGATATACTAGAGCCTTCCAGAGACAGAAAGCTACCGTTAACGCCTTGATGGGCTGGCGGGGATTTAGAAGACTCGGGCGACTCGTCGCTGGAGAGCTCACGGAGGAGCTCATGGTCACCAGGCAGAGTGCTTAGGTGTGTAATTTTCAATAGTACTGTGTAGCTACCAGATTTGCAAACATCGTAAGATGATTGTCAAAAACGATAATTGGTCGCCCAGGAGGATCCCATTCGCCCGTTCACCATAGATTGAAGAGGGATTTTTTGATCAGCCCGACATAATCATGGCAAAGAAACCGAGGTAAAGCTAAAGGGGATCTGAAGAAGGCAAGACGCGTCGAAGCTCACCAGACGGGATGACGGACTGTGGATTTGATCGGTCGGAATCCTCGGCACGCATAAATCCTTCTTATTCAGCATCCACCGATGCACAACTACGTAATATTTGTGGACGGTGAGGGGACCAAATGTTCGGTTTGACTCTTCCATACCAGAAAGTACTTAGTGGCAAGTGTTGTGGAAACCCGGTCGATTGTTACACTGCTCTGAAGAAGAGTTTTCATTTGATAGCAATAAATATTTCATTCGATCTAACTGCTTTACTATTAGTACAAAAAATCTAGTTGTTTAGCCTGAGTATGATCATCCTACACTCTAGAGATACATCATAACTAGTTGAAAGGGATGATGATAATGATGATGATGATGATGATGTCAGACCAGTTTGCCTCTCCGCATTGGCGAAGTCTTTAGTTACCTGCTCAGGTAGTATTAATCAGAACAGTCAGTTGACAGGGTCCAGTAGCCATCGAGTGTTCTGGATTGGGTGACCAGGTCATTCATCCTTGGATCATCCCGCCGAATCCGCGGGCAGGTCAGCCCTACGGCGCGCTCGGAACTGATGGAGCCCGACTGCTTCAGTTCCAGTAATCCTTATTCAAATCTGCTGCAGGTTCACATGACGGAGAATGCCCGAAGCCTTCGGTATGGTAGGAATTAGGTAAGACCATCCCCGTCGGCGTTGAAGAGAACATCCTAGCGCCATCGTGCCAACGGCGACAAGACAAACCTAGACGCCGACAAGCGCTAGTAGGAAATTCATTAAGATGATTAGCTACATTGGATCGAGTTAAACCCGCCTACTCATTATCGAGGTTTGGGGGTGACTTGGAAAAGGAAGAACCGGCTATGCCAGTTCCAGAACGTTATGGTATTCTTGCACTGAATTATGAATGCCGCTGCTAGCTCCGAGTCGCTACGTTGAATCCTATACTATAGACTACCAGTACTCGTCAAAGTATGTACGTCCAGAGTAGTGCAACAACGAACATAGTGCCATTGTTCTGCGAGGAGCGCTTGATACAGGGCACCCTGGCACCTACTTACTGGTATGTAGTGGTGGGTATAGCTAGTTGTGGTTTTACTAATTAGGCTCAGCTGAACGGACGAACAAAGTATCCATCATGTACTCCATTCAGCATTGCCCCGGGTGGCATCTAAAGTGGTGTCTTCCCCTTTCTTACTTCGAGGTCGCCCGGGCCTCAGTTCAATGTACCGTAGTAGTCGATAAATCATGCGGTGCCCCTGAAGTTGGAAAGGACAGCCGTGCGTTTCTTTGTCACCAACTTCATCACTGTAGTACCTTGCCGCGGGACGCCTGTGTTCTTTCAAAAAATATTAGTTCCAATAGATTTTCGTACGATTAAGCCGAGAAGGCAGCTGACCAGCTAAACTTTCTCCATAACTATGCCGTTCTCAGCCTCGCCCTCAGCAGCTAGCGACTTTTATTTTCTCATGCAAGATAGGAGGGTCCGCGATGGAAACGTTACAGGACTAGAGAGAAAAGTTTGCCATCTGTCCCCGCCAGAACCAGAACCTCGTTTGCTAGATCGTAATGCCAAGCCCGACCCAGGGAGTCATTCGGTCGGATTCCCTTGGGGAGACAACGAGGCATTTCAGGAAGGCATTTGACACTGCCAAGTAGTCTCAGGATCAATTAATACGAAAAGTAAGCTTAGCTGGACAAGGCTTAGATGGTTATCAGACACTAGGTCAGAAGATAGTATATTTGGCACTGCAGTGTTGGGCAAGGGGGCAGAAAGTAAAGTCTCATGGCACCAACGATCCGATCTACCTTTTCTAGCTAGACTATTTAGTAGGTGAAAGGAGGACGAGTGTGATTACTGTGCTTTAGTCCTAATTCAGCCTTACGCTGGTCTCCGTCACCAGTGGCACTGAGTCAGCGCCGAGTCTGCCTCAATTTTGCAGACCCAGCGATCCAAACTCTTTTTTGCTTGCTCGCCTCTTAAATCCGACATCCGGTCCCATGGCACGGTGCGGACCTTATCGGCAAGTCGGAGCTTCCGGTTCCGTTGCAGCAAATGTCCAAAGCCCGAGGTCCGCGGGGACACCACGATGGAGGTTGTGTTGCTCTCCCCGAAATATATTGACATAGCATCGCGGCAAAGGACAACTAAGATACTAGAGCCTGACTGAACTAGGATACTCAAACTTGTTTGTGCCTGGTAAGGACGTAGTCTGAGGTAAGTAAGGTAAAGCATGTATGAGGGTGGGTATTGCTGATTACACCACAGGGCATACATAACATGCTCAAGCAGAAAGTATGTATGCATAGCAGCGGCATGGTTTCTTCCTGTCTATTACCTAATCTCGATTGCATATTTCAGCTCCGATGCTCCGAAACGCTATTATCGTCGGTCAACGGGTCGGTCAAGCTATTAATCTCCCATTCTTGACTGTAGTACAGTAAATGCTAAATAGTCCTGCTCCATGGAAGCATTAGGATGATCTTCGTTATAATAATAGGAACAATTTATTAATTAACGAATCTATTAATTCTGCAGGGCAGAGTTCATACTTTGCACTTACTGTGCTGTAGTAATCATCCTCACTGATTTGATACGGGCCAAGCAATACGAGATAATTACGATGCAGCCAATAAACCGCCGATGGGGGTTGCCATCCAATGAAGAAATGTTAGTGTCGGCGTCTGGTTAGTTCCGAGAGAGAGGATCGTCGGCTAGCTGCTTGGGGCCATGGATGCGAGCTGCTGGCCATGGATGGCCAGGACCCAGTTCATGCAACGAGACCAGACGACCCAGCCTGTTCCTAGAAAGTAGAAACATTATTTTGTAATTTCTCGCGCTTTGGCTTGGCTGACTGGCTCTTAACCGTAGATCGGGGGGAAGACCTGCCGATGGTCCTGATGGACAGCCCAGCAGAAAACCCCATCGCTGTGAGGGCGTAAGGATACGTAGTAGTAATAGTAGTATACGCAGACCAGACACGCAAAGAAGACACTACCTAAAGGGGAAGAACAGCCCCCCAGCGGGATCTTGACCAAATGTGACCACTAAACCGTCATTGTCACTTCTGGTTCCATGTGGGTTCCTCTTACTGTAATTTTTGCTTTTCCTTTTTTTACACTTATTTTTATTTTCTAGTTTTTTTTTTCCTTTTTCCACATTGACCCTCCCCCATTTATTTAGTTCAGCTCAAGAAGCATGATGGATGATTCTTATTTATGACTATTTACCCACGAAATTCATGGTGGGATCTTGACCGCCATCTTTTTCGCCCCCTCTAATCGATGATCCATCGATCCCATCTGAGTCTGACATGCGATTCGTATTCCTTTTTTTTTTCCTCACTCATCTGAAAGTCTCAAATATTAAGGCGCTTCTGGACCCCCTAACCCACACTGTCCGGCCTCCCTTACATACTTCCGCCCACTCTTTGCTCTTTTCTACTCCAATGACCACGTCGTACGACATCTGAACTTCCCTATTCATCCATCTATCCGGTTTGCCTCCTGCGCTGACCTCAATCCCCTCTTTCGATAAATCTACATCTGCAGCTTCAGCCTTATTTTAGGTGGAGGGGTTGATAGTTGCCGTGCAGGTCACGCTCAGTCTATCTACTACTTACTATACTTACTTTACATCCACCCTCCATCCATCCTCCCCCTTCCTTGTCTTCTCGTCATATCCTCTCTTACTACTACCGCCACCATCTTTCCCTGACCCGGGACTTTTTATTGTCTTTGTTCTCTTGCCTTCCATTTCTCTGAATTATTCAGCATATTCCTCTGGCACAACGAGGTTACAAAACAGCAAACGACGGCAACTTGTTAACTAGCTGGATCGGCTTAGGCTGACGTATTCTGTCAGCCACAGCCACCCCCGTCACTGTTATCATAGTTAATCCCCGTCACTGCCACTGATCTTCGCCGTCAATGTTGATCGGGGAAAATTAAACAGACATTGTCGCATCCCCAGAAATAATGCTATTCAACCTTGGCTTGACAGCGGATGCGGCAGCAGCTCACGAAAACGAGTACCCCGGGTTACCATCGGAAACCCAGATCCCTAGCCCGACGCGTCATTCGTCCCCGGCAATCTCATTCGCTTCCCTGCCATCGTGGGGACTAGGCAGCATCTACAACGGGCGCAAACCCACGGAACCCGAAATGACGCAGCGTACAATGTCGCGGAAAGTTACTATTGATACACTATCCTCGAGCGATGACGAGCGTTCGACAGTCACCCCAGTCCTAGCTCCATCAAGGATCGCCCGTTCGCAATCAGTTCGGAAACAATCGTCGCGCCCTAAAACGTCATACCAGCTAGCGCATCCCGCGGCCCACGCACGCCATAGGCGATTAAAGCTCCGGCCTAAGCTTCTCCTGCAGCTTCAACGTGTGTCGCAAACCCCACGACCTCTGCCACTTTTGGATGTGCTCCCCTCCACTGTGTTTCTGCCGCCTCTAGCTCGCAAGTTTCCGACGATATTCCGCGGTAAAAAAGGACTAGGCCCCAATGACCTCATTGTCGTAACTAGTGACCTCTATGAGCGGGCGCCGGGCGATAATGGAGACAGGTCTTTAAGCTCCGATGATGAAGGCGGAGAACAACGTGAGGTGGTCGCAACGATATGTCAGCTCTTTAGGGATGACGCTTTATCTAAAGGAAAGGCGGAGATTTGTTTGAACCATGGGCCAGTTTGGGAGGCCACGCCTCTTGCCAATGGCTCCTACGAATTCGTGGCCAACACGGATGATGGTATCCAGATACTGCGGTGGGTTCTGAGAGGTGGGAAGAATCGTCGCGTGTCGGCGCCCCCGGGCTTCCCGCAAGAGGAGAGCAAGCGGTTTACGTTCAGCGTGATCAATCCCAGCACTCGTCGTCACCCTGTTGTTGGTACGATGACACGCAATTACCTCGAGGTGTATGATGAGTACTCAATTCCGACAACACCGGGTATTGCTGGCTCACCAACCTCCGCCATGTCCGTGTTGAGCGACTACTCCGAAATGGATGACCCGTTGGATCGGAAGGTTCTGAAAACCGACAGTGACCTCCGCATGCTGATCATTATCACCAGCATATGGGTAGCTTTTAGGGAAGGCTGGTCTCACAACTTCACTTACGACGACTCGGCCTTGGCAATCAATTCCAAGACAATGTGTCCGTCGAGACACAGCTCGCCAACTGCAATTCGAAGCGAGACTGACAGAACCGAGAGGGAAGATGGCCACGATGATGTTCCCCCGTTGAATGGCCGAAGACATCGTCTCTCGACGTCCAGCTATGTCCCTTCACAATCTACGATGTCCGAACGATCTACGACCTTTGGAAGCTTATCGAGACGATCCAACTCAACTGGTGCGGCTTTTATCGAGCGGACTAACCGACGTGTTTCGGGTAGCAACGGTCGTCTTAACCGACACAGTACACTCTCCAGTCCTCGTGAACAGAGACAGGACCAAGCTGTCGATGCCACACCTGCCCGACAGGACTCCAAAAGTCGCAGGTTATGGTCCCACAGAAAATCCGACGTCCAAGATTTCAAGACAACGGCTTTCCCTGATCAAACGATAGACCGATCCAAGGGATTCGATAACAACCAGTCACGCCAAGCCGATACCTTTCGCGACAAAGGCATTGACTCTCCCGTAGACTCGGCACCGAGTAAGGGAAAGCGTCGGCATCGGATTAGCAACCTCTTCGATTATATCATCCGCAAAACCGGACATCATCATTGAGCCAAGCCTGGAGCTTAAAATCACATACCACATTCAATGTTCTTTTGCTCTGCACAGTTGTCTTCTCTTTTTATCTCCCTCTTGCAGAGGTGAGCACACCTCTCAATTTCATCCAAGACACTACAATAGTGACACGAAAGCCTGGAGCTGCGGTTGTATTGTATGCAAGCGGATGGCAGGGCCTCATGTTGTGAGGCCAAAGCTACCGTTACTCCTCATCGCACTGGGTGTCTGGCATTTCTCTCCCACTTCCCAACCTTGCATGAGACTTGTCTCCGCACATCATCATCTCTCGGCTCTTCTGAACTTACCAGCGATATGAATACCACGACATATATCTGATAGCGCTCCTTTTTATAACATTCTTATCTCCTTCCTTACTGATTCTCTATTCTGGCATTGCCATCAGCATCACCTTCCTGTCTGTGCATATGTACAAACCAAGGTCCGCAGCATTGATTGCTTCGGGAAACATACAGGTACTTCTTGAAATGGGTATTTTGTAGAGTAGGTACAAATATCTTGAAAAATACATACATCTGGCACACAGAGCACGACTTCGTTGAATCTGTAGTATACACACGTAATAGAGAAAAGTACCTTCCAGCTAGTAGGAACGTAGTGGGATTAGTTTCCGAAGGATCATCTGCAGAGCACCTAGTACGATTGGTTAGTGGGTTTTATAGCTGTGAGCGATCAGCCTAACAGAGGGGGCACAAGGCTTGTTCACCAATCCTGTCGATCGCTGATATATTACTCAAGCGCTTGAATGAAGACGACGAGTTTGTTTGTCATTTCTGTCAACAGTAGCTGAATGTCATATTAGAGCTGATTTAAGTGACTGAACAATACGAATTTAGAGAAGTATAGAATGACATTCTGTTTGTATAGATGATCATCGTATCCAAATTATTCTTTACCGCTCCAGAGCAGTGATAGCCTTAGGGATGTAAGGCTCCTCCAGGTACTTGATTTCCTCATCGGTCAACTTGACCTTGGTACCGGCCACAGCCTCGTCAATGCGCTCCTTGCTGTTGAGTCCAAGAATAGGGTTCTCATTGGGATGGCTCAGCGACCAAGCGATGGCCACCTGGGCCATACTGACACCCTTCTTCTTCGCGATCTCTTCGACACGATCGACGATAGCCTTGTCGGATTCTGTCTCGCGGCTGCGGATGAGGAACTTGAGTGCCCCGTCTGTTGCTTCACGAACAGTAGAGCGAGAGCCCCAGGGGCGGGTCAGCACGCCACGAGCCATGGGTGACCAGGGGATCAGGCCCACGCCTGTGTCACGGCAGTATGGGATCATCTCGCGCTCCTCTTCTCTGGCGATCAGGTTGTGGTAGTTTTGCATGGAGATGAACTGGTGCCAGCCATTGCGGGCGGCGATGTTCTGGAGAGTCTGGAATTCCCATGCAGCCATCTTGATAGGCGTGAGCATGTGTCGCTGGAGGAAGAAGGAGAAAATAGACGTACCGTGCTGGCTCCGATGTATCGGACCTTGCCACTTTCAACTACGTCGTTGAGAGCCCGCATGATTTCCTCACGGGGGGTATCACGATCCAGCCGGTGGATCTGCAGCACGTCGATGTATGTTCCCATTCTCTCGACACTGGCATCAACGGCGTCGAAGATGTGTTTGCGGGACAGGCCAACACGGTTTACGAAACCACCGTCGTTAACACCGGAAGCAGAAATCGGAGGGAAGTTACCTTGGTCGTCCACACCGAAGTAGCACTTGGTGAGGATGACAACACGGTTACGGGGAATAGAGAACTTCTTCAGGGCTTTGCCAATGATTTCCTCGGAGCGGCCGTGGGAGTAGACGTCAGCCTGGAAGCTAGTTAACACTATGTCAGGGTAATAGAAAGGTAGAGGCTTGAATGTACCGTATCCCAAGTGTTGATCCCACGCTTGTAGGCATGCTCAATCAAAGGAAGAGCCTCCTCCTCGTCGAGTACCCAATCTTGCCACTGCTTGGCACCATAGGACATGGCGCCCAGAATGATTTTAGATATCTTCAGTCCCGAATTTCCCAGGCTTACATGTCAATTTGTTAGCTAGGTCAGTATGTACAGGGCGAGTATCGCAACCGGGAGACATACCGGACGTATTCCATCTCATTGTTGGCAGCCATGGTGGATGAAATCAAATAACTGCAACGCCATGGTTAGCTATGATGTTACCTCCACAAGCATGCGGAAAGATGCGGGAAGGTTATGAGATGTGGGAGTCACCCACAAATGAAGTTACAAGGGACCAATTGCTGGAGTTAAGTGTTGTAGAAGAATGTACGAGGAAATTGAGTATCTTGACGGGACTGCAAGCAGCTTATCAATACTTCGCAGCTATCACTAAGTGAAATCCAAAGTAAGGGACGAGCTAGCTAGCCAGTTCAGTTGTGTTGCCGAAGCATAGTTAACCCAGAGCAAGCTGGTTGACGCCATTATTAAGCTCCCCACCGAACTGCCGAAAGTGCGAAGCGATGAGTTGCCAGAGCCGATGAGTTACCGACAACCTTTTCTCGGGTTGAGCTGCTCTGGACCCATCGGTCCAGAGGTTCGGGAAGCTTATGCGGGGTTCATTATGAAGATCATCCATTTTTCATGGTACTCCATATAGTGCCGGTGTGTCTATTGAAGAGAATAGGGAGCATTTAGCATAGAATACACAGCAGACTGGAAGTCGAAGGGGAACAATTATATGACTTTTTCGAAAAGGGAAGGAGGGGTAACCAAGGAGGGGAATCCCGTGATCCACATCTTTGCTTGTTTGGCTTCGCTTCTTCCTCTTCCTCCTCCTCCTCCTCCTCCTCTCTCTCTGTCTCTCCACATATTTACCCATCTTCTGTTCGATCCTCTCTGCTTTTTGCCTAAATCACGGCAGTACCTCTACTCCTTCAGTTGAATGCACTGCTGCAGCATATGCCTTATGGCAATCGGCATTGCCGTCTCGTCTACATAAGTAGGCAGCGATCTCCTGATAGGACAAAATGCTCGAGCCAATCTAGGCACGCATCAACCCCTGAGGAAGCCACAACAAAGTCACGGTTCTTCACCTGGAAAGCAGAGGAATAAGACACCGGGGTAGGATCCCGTTCGAGCAAGGCAACCCCGCCAATGAACGGTGTTGGTGGCGGTGGCGCCAGCCACTGCTTTAAGAATCACTGGTTTTCTGGGGAAAGACTCGTCCGACGTGACCGTCAGGCGACTGAAGGCTGCATATTGACAAGAACTGGAACACCCCCGGCCTCGGTAAACGATCAACGAACCGTTCTGCACGTGGTGCGGGTATCACAGAGTATCTGACTCGGCCGCAGACCTGATTGAGCTGCCCATTCCATACAAAAGACCGGACAGACATTTGTAGCATCAAGGGCTGGCTGAACGGTACGTCGCGGGGCTTTGCGCTCTTGAGCCAAGCACTGTATGTCATGGTCGAACAGTCCGGACACCCCGGTAGCCCCCAAGGAAACCTAGTAGAAATTCCCGAGCTGGGTCTGATCGCAGCCTGACGCCAAGAGACAATCACCGGTACATGAAGTTTAAGACATCTAGGTGTAGATCATACTCGTCTAGAGCATTATGGCGAGAAAATTGCTGTTCACCGCTGAAGTGTCGGGTGGTTCCTCTCACAGAGTGATCCTTTTGCATACATGGGGCTTCCAGAATGCGCAAACTACCATGGGTGTATATACCTGATTACTGCTCTGACCATGCTGACTGGAGATGCGTTATTTCCATGTACTTCGACAGCCATCACCGGCAAAACCTCACCGGATAGGCTATCCAAGAAAGATGCAGGTCGGACCGTCTGTCTATCATATTTTAGCACGGCGCCGTCATCTAGCGTCAAAGTAAACGAGTGCATCTATATGGCCAACAGCTTTGATTTCTGCAAGCACCCATCGTTCTCTATTGTTCTCAAGAAGTATAGGCCTCTAACCGCATATGAACCACCAATGATGACCAGTAGCAATAATAGCCGATGAGAGACGGGACTTATGGAAGACTAGTGTCAGCTCCTGGATAGGTTGACACCCACTAGCATTATGTCAATGCCTACAACTGCTCACCTTGGAGATGGAAATGTGGCTAGCTGGGCTGTGTACTCCAGAGTCATGCTTTGCAACGATGAAGATACCCATCGCAGGCATTTCCGCAGCGCAAGGCCGGATTCATGCCCAATGAAGACACCAGACTTGCTATTGTGAGATCCGAGTGCTCAAGGACAGCTGAAAAATGTGATTCATCGTGCAGATGGCAGTTCGTAGCGAAGTTTCCACTCGACATACAGGCCTGAGATAGGAAAGCCTGAGAGAGGAATTGCTCGAAGGGTTGGCTCGAAGTGACTGTGCTATCACCAAGTTCGAACCGCTCGAAGCACCGGAACAGATCTCGGAGCTGAATGTCAACTCTCAGTCGTTTCTCAGTCGCGAAAACTATATAAGGAAGCCAGATTCCTCTCCAGGTCTTCTCCCCAGCATCATCACCAACTCAGCTCGCAAAGCAAGCAACGACAAGAACTACCTCTTGATCATACTCTTTCAGTTTGAAAATAACACAATTTTGAAATGTCTACCGTTGTGACCACCGCTCCTCCTGTCCAGACCATGTCTCTCCAGGCAGTCGCTCACTCGGGCTCTTCGGACGAAGAGCTCTTGCAGCTATTCCGCCGAGTGACCATCACCAGCTCTGACGGCCATGATGTGTCTGAGATGCAAATCAAGAAGGCCTTCCAGCAGGAGATCAGCCGGCCCCTGGGTCGACAGATGCTGGAGGCATCCTTGGCGCACGCGAATGGCTGCTCTTGCTATCACTGGAACTACCATGACCGCATCAGCGGCAAAGTCAACATCTCCCGGGTTGATTTGACATTTGATCTGACTTCAAAGAGCATGGGACAGGCCGTGAAGGGTGAAGCTGCTGGCTTCTACAGGCCTAACAGTGCCTTTATCAAGTAAGTCATGTCTTTCTTTATACAAAACAACACTAACAGCAAGCAGTGCAACCGTCTACTATGACGACCAGCAATACCTCCAGGGCAACCAGAGCGTCCAAATCTACATGGATGGAAGCGTACGCAGTCCGATTTCCACATCATACATCGGTATCAAGGCATGCTGCTAACCCGCAACCAGAAATTCATCATCGACTTCTTCACCACCGACCAGTCGGAGAAGCCAATCGCGCGTATCGTCCAGAACGCCTCGTCCTTTACCTTCCAGGGCACTGACACTGGTGACGCTACCTGGGGTACTAACTAGTGGCTGGGTCGGTGACCGCCGGAAAGAGCCATTTGGCATCTATGCCAATCAATTTGGAGCTGATGGGGTGATGCGGATCACGATGCAGATGGTGATGATTAAGTCTCGAAGGTTGTCTTGTTCTTGCTTTTGCTTTTGAGTCATTCATTAGTTGCTATTTTTGTCTAGTCTTGCTTGTTAGGAGGAATAAGATTGATCCGCATAGAACCATGTGCAATGTAAATCCGTGTAAACCCTTCAACGTAGCTTGAACACCTCACCAGACAGACTCTTCACCTGCTCCCAGTGCCTCCATCCTCAACCCTTCCTGTTCTTCCCGACTTCGAGCACTTTTAAAGATACCAAGCAATCCCATACATCTTTCATAAATTGGCAAAGAGCCTGTATACCCGAGTCTCTTCACCATCAGTACTAGAGGTCTTAATGGAACTGATTCCTTCCATTAAAACAAATTTTACGTGCACCAGGAAAACATTTTAACTGGTTCATAATCCATTGGAGAAAAAAGAGAAATCCTCTAGTACCTCTAACCAACCCATCCACCCCATATACAGTGTCCTTTCTATACATTTCTTTTTCAACTTTCCCATCAACCTGATACAAGAACTTTTTATGTCACCCGCGAAACATAAAAGAAAATGTCATAACCTCATACAATGTACCACACAAATCAAGCGACCCACATAACCCCAAGTGTAAAAGAAAAAAAACCGATATAGCAAAGCACGCTAGACTGTGACAAACTTATATGTATAAGATCTAAGAGGAACCGCCACGACCACCAACGTTCGACAAGGCCTTCTTCTGATCCTCGCTCAGTTGGGTCGTAGGCAGAGGCCGAGCTGCGGTCGAGGCAGCAGATGGGGGAGGAAGGAATCCGGTCTGAACGAGGTAAGAGGCGTACAGGCCGACCAGCTCCTCGGTGACGCCGGCGCCGGCGGAGGCGTCGATGCCGGACCAGGCGGCGTCGGCACGGAGGGAGGCAGCAGCATTGACGTCATCCAGTTCGGGGGCTTTGGTGTTGGAGGGGAGGTCGGAGGTGACGAAGTGGTAGAGGGGCATGCTGGGATCGGATGTTAAGATTGTAGTGGATAGTTTGAGTAGGGTAGGAACTTACAGTGCGTGCTGGGACTCGGGGTCGTCGTGCTGCCCGTCATTGACGTACTGTTCCAGAGACTTGGACCAGGGGACGTAGTCAACCTGCGGGACGTCGTATCCGTACAGCTGGAGAGCACCCAAGAACTGGTTGAACCGGAGGCGCGGGTGTCCAGTGACCTGAGCGACGCCGATGGGAGTGCAAGGAGGCTGGAATGCGGCGGCGATGACCACGCGGGCAACGTGGTCCACGGGAACCATGTTGACGGTGTTGTTGATGTTGGGGCGGGAAGACAGCTGGATGCATCCCTTGATCATACGGATGAGGAAGTCGTCGGTGTTGGTGGCTAGTGTTTGTATGTTAGCTTGCTTGGGGAATCAATATTCTGGGAGATTGTTTACTTACTTCCGGTCTTGGAGTCACCAAGAACGTAACCAGGACGAACGACGGTTCCCTTCAGACCCCTACGGCCTGCCTCACGGACCAGGTACTCTCCAGCCCACTTGCTCTGGCCGTAGCCAGTTCCAAGTCCAACGGCACTGCCCTCGAGGTCGTCCTCCTCGCTAATACCCGCTCCACCGGCGGCAACGATGCGCTCGGATTCAGAGACATAGTGGTCGCTGTCGAGAACACTGGTGGAACTGACGAAGGAGAACTGCTTGGGCTTACCACTGGCGCAAAGCTTCAGAGCATCGATGGTGCCCTGGACGTTGGCCGGCTTAAGGGTAGAGTAAGGGTAGACCCAATGGACAAGTGCCCCGTTGTGAATAACGGCATCCACACGCTTGGTCAAGTCATCCCAGAGAGCATCCGAGAAACCGAAACGGGGTTCACCCAGGTTACCGCAAACACACTGCAGTCTGCTGGTCCAGGCCTCATCCCAGAAGCCGTAGGCGCGGCAGGTGGAGCGGATACGTTCAAGCGCCTGCTCATCGGTCTTACCACGAACCAGGGTCACAACCTTGGCCATGGGCGACTTGCGAGTGAGGAGGTCACGAAGGATATGCGCACCCAAGAAGCCAGTAGCACCAGTCAGGAAGATGGTTGGCTCACTGGACAGAATAGGCTCGGTACGCGTGGGGAAGGAGGCGGGCAAGGCGGTCTCTGCCAGCTTCCGGGCATCCTTCGAGTATTCGTCGTCAAGCTCATCAGGGGTAGCTGAAGCATCCGCCTTAGCAGCGGTACTGTCATCATTGCTGGCGAAAGACTCGAAGTTCTGCAGACGGTCGATCTCGGCGGCAAATCCCCTGAGGGTCGGGCTACGGAAAATGGCGTTCATGCTAACGTCAATTCCGCGCCACTTGCGGCGGATGTCGAAGAACATCTGCTGGGCCAGGATACTGTGCCCCCCAAGATCGAAGAAGGAGTCATCAGGTCCAATCATGCGAGCAGTAAGGTTGGGGATGCGGGAGGCCCAGATTGAAGCCAGCGCCTGCTCGGTTTCAGAGAGAGCCTGGACCACAGATGACTTGCGACGAGGAGCCGCGGCACTGAGCTCTGCGGTATCGGGGAAGGGTAGCGCAGGCTTGTCGATCTTGCCGTTAGGGTTAAGGGGCATGCGCTTGAGGGGGATGAACACCGTCGGCACGGCGTAGGAGGCGAGCTTGGTCCGCAGCAGGTCACGGATGTCGTCACGAAGAGGACGGAACCGTCTAAGCATGCCGACCATTCCTTCAGCAGAGTCATCGTCCTCGAGGCCCTTCTCCTGCAGCCAAGCAGCCCACTTGCTCATGTCCGGCACGAAATAACTGACCAGAGTCCGCTCCTCGAACTTGTCACGACGCACCAGGGTGACATTCTCTCTCACCAGGGGATGGCGAGACAGGTGGGTATCAATCTCACCCAGCTCGATACGGAAGCCACGGATCTTGACCTGATCATCTGCACGTCCCGAACACTCGACATCTCCCGAAGGAGTGTAACGACCAAGGTCACCACTGCGGTACAAGCGATCTCTAGGGCCTTGGTAGAACTGCCTCCAGGGCTCGTTCGCGCTGTCTGCCTTGGCCTGGTCCTTCTGGACCCAGGTCTGGTTATCAACAAACCAGTTGTTGAGGAACTTCTTCTGATTCAATTCAGGCGAACCCAGGTAGCCTTCAGCGAGACCACCGGCACGGACGTAGATTTCACCAACTTCACCGATGGCGCAAATGCGGCTGGGTTCGAAGCGGTTAACAACCAGCATCTGAACGTCGAGCATACCCCGACCTGCCGGGATGACGTCCTTCATGGTGTCCAGGTAGCCCTCGTCGCTCGAGTAGCTCGGGATCTCGAAGTAACTGACCGCACGCTGTGTCTCAGTCGTTCCGTACATATTGACGATGTTGACATTGGGGGCCAAGCCCTGCAGAGAGCGGCAGTCTCGCTTGATCAGAATATCACCGACGAAGAAGGCGTGATGAAGCGAGGGGAACTGTGCCGAAGCACCACCGACGAGGATCTGACCCATGGCAGGGGTAAGGTGAGTGACAGTAGCTCCATACTCGCGCATCCACTCGGCAAGCCTTTCGTTCTGAATATCCTCCCGGGCAGGAACCAGCAGCTGAGCTCCCAGGAAAAGAGGGGTGAAGATATCTCTTTGGATCGGGTCATGAGCGATACCGCTGAGCATGGTAAACCGATCGTTGGGGGTAAGCTTGAAGGTCTCGGACATCCAAGGGAAGTAGTATGCGAGAGAAAAGTGACGACCCTTGACACCCTTGGGCCTGCCCTCCGAGCCAGAAGTGAAGGACAGAGTCGGGGTGGAGTCAGGTCCGACGACGACACCAACAGACTTGGCCTTCAATGGAACTTGGTTGGCCAAGACATCCTGGCCGTTGATCGATCCTCCGACGAGGGAGCCATCGTCGCGAAGGGCCAGGGCAGGCACTTCCGTGCGCAGCTCCAGGTTCTCATTGATGAATGAGCGGACCACATCAGAGAGCTCACCGGCATCCTTGGTTGCCTTCTCAATGTTGATCAATGCCCGAGGGCGAGCCACATCAAGGTAGATGCACTGTCTTTCCGGGGGATAGGCAGGGTCGATGACCGAGAAGGTCGCGCCAGCCTTCAGGATACCCATAACGGCTACCACCAGGTCAACACCACGGTAAGCGTACACCATGACGACCTCTCCTCTCTCCACACCCGCCTGGACTAGATGATGGCCCAAAATGTTGGAGGCCTCATTGATTTGCTTGTAGGTGAACTCCCGGTGAGGAGACCGCTCCGACTTGGTCTCCACTACACAGAGTCTTTCGGGGTGCTTCTCAGCGTTAGCGGCGAAGATGTCATGGATAGCACCGCGGAAATTGGACCAGTTCAAATCGGAGGTCGGGTCCGGAAGAAGGGCCAGTTGATCCTCGGTCATGAAGTCAATGCGCCCAATTGCTTGTTCCGGGTTGCTGGTCGCATTTTCGACCAGACGGGCAAGCTGCTTGAGAATGGTGGAAATTCTCGAACTGGAGAAGAGTCTCTGGTTGTAGTAAGCTCCCAATTCCGCCTGGGTTGTGGAGCCATCCGATGCACTGATCGGAGCAATGTTGACAACGAGATCAGTTGTCTCGAAGGTGTTGGCAGGGTAATCCTGGGAGGCAGCAGGGGCATCGTAGGCAGCAAAACGGAAGAGGACGGGAGAGCGTTCAGATTGAGACTTTTCTTGGATATAGGATCGTAGACTGCCCAGAGGTACGATCTCGGCCGAGCCTTGCTCGAATGCCTAGGAAAGAGTTAGATGAGCTACAACAATGGTATACGCCCCTTAATTTTTGTCATACCTTCTGGACCTTGGCGTACAGCTGCAGGAAGGTTTCGGATGCCTCGATTGGGACTCTCAGGACGAAAGGACGACCATCGTCGCTGGAGCTGGTTCCGACGGCAATATCCTCGTCACCGGTAAGGCGTGCAACGAGCACAATGAAAGCCGTCAGGAAGACAGTGAATCCGGACGAAGAGCCGGAGATCTTCTGCAAGTCCGATTGCGTTTCCTTGGACAGCTGAAT